AAGGGAAAAAGGGTCGAACAGATATTTCACCAAAGAGAACACACAGATTGCAAATAAGCATATGAAAAGATGTTCAACATGATTATCCATCAGACAAACGCAAATTATAACCGCAATGAAATATCATTACATACCACAGTGGCTAAAATAAAAAAATAGTGATAACACCAAATACTGGCAAACATGTGGGGAAACTAGATCATTTAGAAATTGCTAGTGGGGATGTAAAATGGTAAGGCCCTCTGGAAAATAGTTTGGTAGTTTCATAAAAACTAAATATGCTTTACCATATAATCCAGCGATTGCACACTTGGGCACTTATCTTAGAGAAATGAAAACTTATATTCACACAAAAACCTGTACATGGATATTCATAGCGCTTTATTCATAACAACCAAAATTTGGAAAAACTCAAATGTCCTTCGATGGGTGACTGATTAAGCAAACTGTGGCACATCCATACCATGGAATACTACTCAGAAATAAAAAGGAACCAACAGGTTGGAAATACACAATAACTTGAATAGATCTCATGTTTTTATTACTCACGTGGGGTGAAAAAAAAATCTCAAAAAGTTATGACTATACAAATCTATTTATAGAGCATTATTGAAATAAAATGGTAGGGATGAAGAACAGATTAGTGATTGTCAGAGTTTAATGACATCATGCTACAAAGGGGGGTAGCATGAGGAAGCCTTGGGGTAGGAAATCATTGTGCATCTTGATTGTGGCAGAGGATCTATACATATAATACACATGAATTCATGTATCTGTAAACATATAAAATTGCATAAAACTATACACACACACATACACACACACTCAAATGAGTGCATGCAACACTGTGGAAATCTAAATAAGCTCTGTGGATTGTACCAATGTTAATTTCTTGGTTTAGATATCATTGGAGCAGACTGGGTGAAAGTACATGTGACCTCCCTGTATGTTTTTTGAAGCTTCCGTGAATCTATAATCATTTAAAATTTCAAATATTTTTAAAATATTTTATTATTTATTTATTTATTTATTTATTTATTTATTTAGAGACCACACTCT